AAAGCAGAGAATAAGAAACAAAGCACTTTTATTGTGAAACGTGGCCTTTTTCTGCTAAAACTAGTGGACACCCAGACCCTATATTGGCTGCCAGTGGTGCTGGGTGTAAATCTGTGAGAGATTCTGAAGTACCTCACGTTGAGGTACCACACGTTTATCAATGTTCTGAGGCTCAAATCCTCCGATGGCACGAACTCAGAGCAAAAACATTTAACTACATTGCCTGTTCCCAGGGCCAGTGTGTTTTCAATTTTGCATTTCAAAACATGAAGAGCCCTTGCGCCAATGGAACCTCCTTTGCTGGTTCCATCTTGACCTTCTCGCCATTCACCGTCACCTCATACGTCTCAGCCTCCACCGAGATTGTCGGAAGGACGTCATTGAGCTTCATATCCTTCTTCCCAATGCCGCGGCACTTTTCCACAGCTACCACTCGTTTGCCCAGCTCGTAGCTTTGGACGAGTCCACCAGACATTCGCTGAAGGGACACGTGGGAGACAAATGCGATGCTGCAGTCTTGCGCTGCAGCCGGGTGTGCAGCGAACATGGGCCGCATAATGACCGGTTGTGGGGTGGGGATTCTGGACGATAGGCAGTGTAATGGATTATGATGAGAGAAAAATCATGCACGCATGGGAGGGGTGGAAAATTCAAATACTCACGAGGCATTGGCGTCTCCCATCTGACTGTATGCAATCATTCCCCCTTTAATAACGAGTTCTGGCTTCGCTCCAAAGAACTCTGGCTTGTACATAACAAGATCTGCAAACTTTCCTGGCTCGACAGATCCAATGATGTGGCTCATGCCATGGGCTATCGCTCTTAAATCGCAGTAAACAAATGCACAGGCCGATTGGTCAGGGAGTAACTTAAATGGTCCAAATCACACTCACGGGTTGATTGTGTACTTTGCTATGTATCGCCGTATCCTAAAATTATCTGCCTTGTTTGCCGGCCCATCCAGCACACCCCTCATCTTCTTCATCTTGTCTGCCGTCTGCCAAGTTCGTGCAATAACTTCGCCGACTCTTCCCATTGCCTGCGCATCAGAGGATATGATCGAAATTGCGCCCATGTCGTGAAGCACATCCTCTGCCCCAATGGTCTCTCCGCGGATACGTGACTCAGCAAATGCAATGTCCTCAGGTATGTCCTTTGATAAGTGGTGGCAGACCATAAGCATATCAAGGTGCTCGTCGAGGGTATTAATGGTGTAAGGGCGAGTCGGGTTGGTAGAGGAGGGAATGACGTTGGAAATGCCGCAGACAGTGATAATATCAGGCGCCTTTCAAAACAGACAAAACGCTGGATCAGACCAAGACACTGTATAATTCACTTACGTGACCGCCCCCAGCACCCTCACTGTGATATGCGTGAATTGTTCGTCCTTTGAATGCTTCAATTGAGGTTTCAACAAAACCAGATTCGTTCAGGGTGTCTGTGTGGATATTTGCCTTTTGCCATCGGACAATCTGAGACCACTCGTTGTTGACCCTATCCTCCTCACCTGAACATCGTAAAGGTCGCAAATGCTCAAGCACGCGTCGATAGCAGCAGGGGTTGTTCCCCAGTCTTCATGAAGCTTGACGAGCATTTCAATCAATTCGTTTTTCAATTGAAGTTCCTTACCTTCAAGCCAATTGCTCCAGCCTTGATTTGCTCATGAAGGCCCTCAGGAGATGCAGAGTTTCCTTTTCCGGTGAATCCAAAATTTAAGGGAATTGTATCAGTTGCTTGCAGCATCATTTTCAGGTGCGCCGAGCCAGGCGTGCACGTTGTCGCATTAGTCCCAGTGTTTGGCCCTGTCCCACCACCAACGAGTGTTGTGATACCAGTTGCAATGGCCTTTATAAAGGGTTAAGTCACTTCATGGACTGCTGTGTGGAATACTATTTTACCTCGGTACAAATTTGTGGACAGATAAAATGAACATGCGCATCAAAGCCGCCAGCAGTAATGATTTTGCCTTCGGCCGAAAGAACTTCAGTCGTCACACCAATAACCATATCGGGAGAAACCCCGGCCATAACGTGAGGATTGCCCGACTTGCCAATAGCTTTGATAAAGCCATTCTTAACACCGATGTCGGCCTTTCAGTGAAGGTTAATGGCAAATCAATGAAGAATTTGGGCAACCTTGTAAATACCCGAGTAGTCGACTATGATGGCGTTCGTTATCACCAAGTCCAGAACGTCTGCCTCTCCCACTCCCGTTACCTGACCCATGCCCTCGCGGATGACTTTCCCTCCTCCAAATACTGCCTCGTCCCCATATACGGTGAAATCATTCTCAATTTCTAGGTACAGCTCGGTATCTCCCAAGCGCACCCTATCCCCCGTTGTAGGACCATACGTGTCAGCGTATCGTTGGCGGTCCATGGAATACGGTGAAGGAATTGGCAACGGGGCTGACAGGGCTAGGTGGCGGATTCCTCGCGATGCTAAACCTGCGAGAATGGCTGGGATGCGGGAATAGTCGACAGGGCCAGAAGCGACTCCATTGCCTCCATGGATGATTTTCTGCCCAGAAATCTCGACCAGAGATACAACTTTTGACTCTCCTTTTCTCGAATCAATGGCCCGTTAAAAAACATTCCCGTCAAGCCCGTTTGAAATACCTGGTTCAAAACGAACAGCGGTTCCGGCGGGTATGTTTAGTCTGAAGCCGTACGCGGCACCTCGGTCGAATTCAAGATCCTTGTTTGTTTCGATAAAGTGATAGTGGGAGCCGACCTGGTGAGGTTTGCGAGCAACGTGAGTTTTGACTCATAATGACGACCGCATGTGCCACACCCAACTTGAACAGGTCGGTCACCATGGTTTGTAACGCGAATGGAGCGAAGTTCCCGTCCGCTGTTCAACGTTATAGCACCGTCCTTTACGATAACGGCCCCTGTCACGTTTGCACGCTTGAGAATCACGTTTGCCACGGGAGAAACATCGCAACTCACCGGGCGCAACGTCATCCGCGTCCATCGTCGCGGGAAATACACCCGCTCCAGGCACCGGTAAAAACGAGCCGTACAGCGCCACGCTCAAATCCGCGTCATCCCCGGCAATGGGCGAATGGACTGTGACCAGCTTCGTGCCGTCTGGGAACGTGCCTTCGACCTGGACTTCGTGGAGGGTGTGCGGTACCCCGGAGAGAACGTGCCGTCGGCCAAGCATTTTGCGACCAAGGTCCATCAGCTTAGGGGCGAAAAAGGGCAGTGAAATCATCATGCGTTGGAAGGGATGGGGGGTCGCGCGAAAGTTTAGAAATGGCGTTCGGGTACGATGGCGAGCAAAGGGTAACGGGGTTGTTGGCATTCACCGCAGCGACGGAGTGGTTGCCATCTCTGATGTATTCGACCAACTGAGAGGCGATCAGAGCACACGCCTCGGCGTGGTTCAACCTCAGGCCCCGAGCGAGGCGTTTCTGCGCCAGGAACCCGGCCTGATGAAGAACCAAGAGCTTGTCGACTTCGCGCGGAATGAGATGCATTCGTCGCCTTGTTTTTCTTCGTCGTCTTCTTGGTTTTTCTTATCTTTGCGATAACGCGACACTCCGCTCTGGTGTTTCTTTTTTTTTTTTTTTTTTTTTTCCTTTTTTTTTTCTTTTTTTCCTTTTTACCCTTCGATATCTTTTTTATTCTTTTTTGTTTCAGGGTCCCACGATGCGGCCCAGCCAGCGACCACCGACCAAGTGAGCTGTTTCAGCGCGAGGAGAAGACCTTCACCCCCCAAAGAGATCACGGCCATGATCCACCACAAGATGAAGAGTACCGCCTAAGCTTTCGCTGGCATAGCCTATACTGTATGCGATGCGGTGGTTACGGTCCCCGCCACTTTCGGCGAAGCTGGGTTAAGCATCCTTCGGGTTAGTAGAAACAGTCGGTTGCCTGCATCAAGTACGGGATGGACAAAATCAACGGACGAAGACAACAATGCGGGCAGCAGAAATGCCGAGCCAAGAAGGCTGTCGGCGGCAGGAAGGCAGGCAGGCAGCGGGAAGACCAGATGCTGAAGGCGTGACTGAAATTTCTCGAGGGCATCAATGTGGCGAGTGAAGAGGAAAGATTGAAGGGAGAAAGGACGAGAGAGGACCGGATGAGACAGAGAGGGAGAGAGGGAAAAAAAGAAAGAAATAAAAGAAGAAAATAAAGAAAGAGCAAGGAAAGACTACGTACCTGGGGGACCTAAACCCGACCCAACCTTCAACCCGAACCTGACAAAAGGCGAGAGGTAACGGAAAAACAAAAGACGCACCTCAGCCGAGTGCTGGAAAAGGAGGACAAGTGAGGCGAACAGGAAACGGAGAGATTGTGAAACGAAGTTTGCTGAGATTTGGGGAGATGGGATGCCGAGTAGGTTAATTCGAGGAAGGCCGAAAAGAAAGCGGTGGGGATGCGGGCACAAATCGGCAGTTGGTAGGAGCCATCAGGCAAGGCGGGCGTGAGTGTTCATCAGGGGTCTAATTGAGGATCTTACGTGATGAATTCGTTGTAAAGATACGGTTTTGGCCTGTCAGAAACAAAAACAAGCAGAGCGGGGCTTGACCAGTTTCCTGTTTTGTGCGCTGACCATGGCCACCCAAAATTGCTCTCCCCAAAATACTTTCAAAATTCGCTCTTCATGAACTAAGCTGGCTGGAGCCAGCAGCCATGAAATTAATATCCCCAACGTGTACGACATTTGCCGGGAACAATCTTGCTGACGACTTTTTTGCACCCCTTTGCCCCCCCCCTTTTTTTTTGTCTTTCCGTTTGTAGGGAGCCGGGTGCAACAATCGAACTGTGAGTGTGTGAGTGTTTGTGTGCGTTTGTAGGCTGTGGTGGGTGGTAACAGAGGCCATTCTACTTTCAATGCTTCGACCGTCCAGTTGCCAAAATCAAAGCGCGGCCGCGGGTGCCCCAAAAACGATTCATGAAAACGCCGTCGCCCAATAACCTTGGTGATTTTTCAATCTCTCAAAATCTGGCGGCAAACAGAATAAACTAAAGTCTCATTGAAATATTAGTCGACAACGTTGCCCAGCGGCTCGGCGACGGACTCGTAACCTGTTACTCTCTTAGTGCGCAGGCTCGAGCCCTGACGTTGTCAGAACATTTCTCGACCCTCCTGGGAATATTAGCGATCCAATGAGATCCTTAACCTCTCTTTTGGCTTTTTCTATACTTGACTTATCAAAGCTTTCTGTGAAAATTTTTGGAAAGGTGCAATGTTCTCGGGGTATTCCTGCAATGGGTTAAAAAAGAAGTGACTGTGGATAACTAATGGACGAAGATTGTTAGGGTTCGTCAAAGGCCACGAAGGGGTGAGAGGGCCTGGTGGCTACACTCCTTACCGACTAGCCTATCCTCTCTGGAACGGATGGACCTTGTGCAGATAAGCGTGAAGACTTGACACCGGAGCAGAGGAAAGGAATAAAAGACATGAGTACTGAAGAAGGTAGAACGGCACGATATTCCCCTTCCCGTTCCTCGGAAAAATAAAGGCCACGCTCGCCAAGAACAAAGCCTCCAGTCATACACAACAGGGGGAGGGCATGGGAAGCGTTGGCGGGAAGCTCGAGTCGTTTGGCAGCTCTTCCTCTAAATTGTCTTAAGATTCTCCCGCTTTCTTAACCGTCTGAAGCGTTCTTTCATGTGATTATTGCCTACTCGTTTTCGTAATGTTCAACCAATGAAGTACTCGCTCGCAACTGCAGGATGCAAGGTTCTGCCTTACGAGGCAATGATCGGGCCGCACTTGCGCATGCGACGAAAGGGTAAATCCGATCAAAAAAAGCAAAGGATATCGGAGCCAACAGCAACGACGAGGGAAAATTGCAGTCCGTGTGCACAGCGTGACACTCAGCGACAGCCCGGCGACACCCTCCCCATTGATTACACTCCACCCACCCGCATTGTACAAGGACACTCACGAGGTGCGTCACGCTCCTAATTACTGGGACCAGGATCACACCTTACGAAAGAAAGAAGCAGGTCAGACACCAGAGCAGCTTCCACAGACTTGGTATACATGGTGGGTAGCGGAATACTGGTTGGAGCCTAAAGCGCGTCTATTTGCCATCGGAAGGTGTTCTGCTCGTCCCCCAGGTGAGTGGGAGGGTGTTCTCAGATCTTGAACTCGCATTATCCTACCCCCTTCTCTTTCCAGGTGTTTGATCGTCCGCTCTTCCACCGGCCGCTATGCCCGGCTTTGACCCAAGGTGCTGACTTCTGGAGCTCACCACGCGTGGTGGTACCAAGTCAATGTCCTCGGCCTTGCTCTGACTCGGAATGCCATCTCCAATCCTTTGAATGAGAAGCACAACTGCCATGGAGTCAATTTGATCGTTCAGAGCTAATATAAATTTAATAAACAAAGGCGTAAGTCCAAAGGTTTACACGGCCGCACCACTTCCGGCACCAGAGCCGGCGCCGGTCCCAACCTCTGCCCCGGACGCCGTCCCACCACTGCTGCTTCCACCACCAGTAGCTGCCCCTGCCCCTGCCCCAGCCCCCGCCGCGAGCCTTGCAGCAACCTTCTTCCACACGCTCACGACATCTGAAACGTCCTCGACCACCACAAGCTCCTCCGCCGGCTGCGGCACCCACTCGGACGGCGTCACGCCGCCGTCGCCCCCGACGGGCGCGTACGACTCGTAAAACACGAGAGACGCCGACGCCGGGCGGACGAGCGGCTGCGGCAGGAGCACGCCTTGCTGCGGCGTGAGCGGGTATACGGGCGTCACGATCCCGTCGGGGGGTGGTGCGCCGTTGGGGTCGGCGGCGGTGGGTGGTGAGTCATCGCGCCGCCGGACTGGCGCACCGCCGCTTCCCGCGCCGCTGTCCCCACCGTCACCACCGTATCCCGCGCTGCCTACACCACCGTTCGAGCCGCCGCCAGCACCCGCTGGCGCGTCACCGCCGCCGTCGCCGCCCCCAGCACCAGTGCTCGTGCCTACAGCCCCACTCTGACTCTCGCCCGCCCCCGTCTGCCCCGCCGGCGCTTTCCTCTTGTACAGCGTCGCCTGCGCCTTTGCGACATCCCTCGCGACCTCTGCAAACGTCAGTTTCCTCCCACCCTCGTACGAAGTCGGCTGAAACACGCCGCCGCGCCCACCGACGACAAACGCCCTGACCTGGAACTGGTCGCGCAGCACGCGGACAAAGTTTGCGCACGACGAGCCGCAGAGGCCGTTGCTGACGATGACGACGGTGGCAAAGGGCGACGGGAGCTGGGGCAGCTGCGCGGTCTTTGCGAGGAAGGCGGCGCAGTCCATGGTGAATTTGGTCGTGTAGTTGCTGGTGACACCGCCGCGGGTTTTGGCGAGGTCCGGGGTCGCGGGGCTGATTTCTTGGAGGGTGCGCGGCGGCGCGCCCGTGCTGTCGAGGACGAGGGGGAGTGGGGAGAAGAAGGAGGTGCTGTCGTTGGTGTCGAAGGCCAGCTGCATCAGCGTGTCGAGCACGGGCGACCGGCGCATGTCGTAGTTGACAAACTTCATTGTTGGGTAAAGGTACTGCGTGTGGGGGGGTTTCGCAAAAGTTTAACTCTAGTGGTCCTCGAGGCGCAGATGGGTAAGCGGTGGGAATACGAACCGATAGGAAGGAAGCAGCAGCGCAAACGATGCCCCCGCCGTTGTTTGATACGTCGATGATCAATGTGGAGACGCCTTGCACTCTCAACATGCTCAGTCCGCTCAGCGTTGTCGCAATGTACTGCGTCACTGCATCGTTCGAAAGCGAAGTGGGCGCAAATGTCGGTAGTACCTGTGGGATGGGCGTGGGACCTTTAGCACACTCAAACCGAGGGAAAACAACTAGAGACTGACCCACACCCCCGTTGTCTGGTCGAGCTTGTACATTGCCCCGTTGGGGTCCTTCACGAGCGGGTTCGAGAGGTCCACCTCCCCCGTGTCAAACATTCCCGCAGAGATCCGCCCTGCCATTGCAGATTGCATGGCGACCATCATGGACTTTGCCTTTTTGAAGCTCCAATCGGGGTTGATGAGGTTGGGCCGGTCGGCGTCGCTCTTCCTCCCCGCGCTTCGTTCGTCGCCTATGGCCGCCCTCCACCCCGCCTTTCTCCACGCAGCGGCCGTCCGACGGTCCGCCTCCCGCAATGCCGAAGCGCCAGCATCACCGCCGTCCATGGCAAACTGCGGCGCCGGCGGCGGGGTTGGTTGCCCGCCAGCCGCGGCGGCGTCGACGCAGTAGGCCTGGTAGTACGCGTCGCGCCCCGTGAACTTTGCCTTGAGCCCAGCGTCGTATGCCGTGTCGAGCACGGCCGCCCACGGCACGTTCATGGTGACAAAGTGCGTGCCGTCGGCCGAGATCAGTTGGTACGTCCTAATGTCGGCCATGTCGGCCGGTGGGGCCGTGCGGGTCGTGAGGATTGAGGACGGGGTCTGCCACGCGCCGGGTGGCGTCCAGCGCGGGGTCGGGAACATTTGATTGAAGCGCGTGTCTTTGGAGCGGGACGTGCCAAAGTAGGCGTCGCTGTATTGTTGCGTGAACAGCTGGGGAAATATTGAATGGATGAGCGACAAACGCAGAGTGCGAGCGAGACGACAAAAAAAAAAAAAAGCAGAAATCTGTACCACAGGATCCATGCCGTTGATCCGGTATATATAGTAGCCGAGGTAGCTCTCCGCTTTCACCCCTCGGCTGCTCCAGTATTGGTTCAGCGCTTGACTCACCGCATCTTGTTTCAAGGCTTCGGGATTGATGGATTTCAGGTACATTGCCGGCGTTCCATCCGGCCTGTACCGAGTTGCAATCACCCAGGGCTGGTGGTACGCGAACGCTTTGAAGCACTTTGGGTCGTATACGCTGTGTCCGTCGCGCATCGATTTGAGGAGCGCTCCAATCGCAGAGTGGAACTGAAATTCGGTGGTGATGGTCACGTCGTTGGCGATGGCGTCCAGCTCTTCCATCAAATCTATGAAGGAGGAAAACAGCGGACTTGACGAATTTCGCATGATGTCGAGGTAGGGATATCTATTGGGAGGGGGTGAAAGGAACGGATGAGCATCGTTTTTGGCGGGGATAAGAGGCAGACCGCACAGTTGGAAAGTCGATTTTAGCGCTTCGATCTGGCCGTATCTGACGGACGGCAGCAGCGCAAACGAGTTATAGCACTGAAAAGTGGCGGAAACCCTGTACACTTCTCCGGACAAAAGTGCAACGCATGGATCGGACCCGTTGGCGGAGAGAGGAGCAGCCCCGCCTACAGCGGGCGGGGCTGCAGGCTGAGCGGCTACAAAGTTGGGCCCGGGACCGGTGCCGGAAGAGGCCGGGACCGATGGAGGTCCGCCGGCATTGAATGGTTGGCCAGGCCGCGGCGTTCTTCCAGGTGGAGTGAGTGCACGGATGTCTGGGGAGTAAGCAAGGGCGTTTGGGTCGGCCTGGCCGAGGTGGTGGCTTCTTGGTGGTTGTTTGCGATCGGTTGCTGGCGGCGGGACGGGCAGCTGCACAGCCCCCAGCCCAGATCTGTGGGGGCGGCCTCGATCGGCATCCGGAATCGCTAATGCAGTCCCACCGTCACCGTTTCGCGAGGGCGGCGGCGACGACGAGAGGGCGGCTCGGGTATGCAGGATCGCCGTCGTGAGGTGGGCGATGGCAGTGGCGGCGGCGGCAACGACGAGGGACTGCAGCGTTGGTGTGTCTTTGACGGCGCCCGCGCCGTTGTTGTTGTGGTGGTGGTGGAGGTGGTTGTGGTGGTGGTGGTGGTGGTGGTGCCATTGCAGGCAGGGTCAGATCCACTACTGCGTCAACCTCAAAAACAAGAAAATACAACAACAGGACAACAAGCCAAGGCAGACCTGACAAGACAGACAGACAGACAGACAGACAGACAGACACAGCCTGATAAATCAATCCATCCCCTTCCCAATAATGCTGTCCTCAGGACCGTCAGGTAAACGAGAGAGAGTGAGAGAGAGTGAGAGCTGCGCTCGCGCGCGCGCCCACACACACACACACACACACACACACACACACACAAGCGCGATCCTCGTCGGATATGTAGGCTTTGCATCGGCGCCCCCCCTGCAGCTTCAAGCATCCATCTCAGCAGACCCGAAACTAATCCCGATTGCCTTCGTTTCTCCAACA